TTAAATATTATGGAAGGAAAATTAGAAGCTAATGAAATTAATCTCACTTTAATAGGTGAAATCGGTTATACAACAACTCAAACTATTTCAAGTGGGAAAGGACGAACATCAACACAAACCAAATATCATCATATTCCATTTTATTCTGCTAAAGCTATTTTTGTAAGGCCTGATTTAGGACAAAAAGAACTTGTTTACAATCAAGGAAATTATTCATGGCCATTTCAAATTCTATTAACTGAACATCTTCCACCTACACTCAATCAACCACAATCATATCCTCATGTTCGATATTATCTTCAAGTTATGATTGAAAAAACATGGTATAAACCAAACAAAAGAGAAACAAGATATTTAACAATATTTCCACGCGTTAATTTATTACATAATCCTCAATGTTTAATTTCAACTATATTTGGCAATGAAAATAGAAAAGATATAAAATTAAAAGGAACACTAAATAAATTAGGTTTTGTTCCTGGTGAATTGATAGTTGCAACATTAGAAATTGAAAATCGACGAAATGTATTAATTCAATGTATTAATTTATCAATGACACAATTATATGACATTGGACGAAATTCACGTAAAATTATAATTTTCGACACAGTATTACCAAATATTATTAATCTCAGAAATGAATTTATAAGAGAAACATTTTCAATATTAATTCCTAATATTCGATTACCACCATCATATCAATTTCAAGGTGGTCTTCAAGCATCTGCTAACGTTCATATTCATTACACAATTCGATTTGCAATTAAAGTTGAGGGAATATTTACGAATTTTGATATTGATATACCAATTATATTAGGAACAGAATCTAATTCTGTTCTTAATCATGATTCGCCACCTAGTTATAACTTTGTTGTATCTCATGCTAAATAATTGTTGTTTGACTGATGAACAAACAAATAAATACTATTTGCTTTGCTTTTGAACAGTAGTAATACTTATATGATCTTACAGAACGAAGTAGATAACGCTGTTACCATAGTCTTAGAATATGCAAGTTTTTATGTCAAAATCATTCTAGAGGCATCACTTGATAGCATATCTTTTCATATAAACGTGTGCAAAATTTCTAATGAATTTTGCTGATCTATCACAGAATATGTTCGAAACTTGCTCACATCAGACATATTTCTTATTTTGTCTAATATAAATGTGTTAAAAAGTAATTAAAAACAAAAAATATTTTATTATCTATAATACAATCTCTTGTTTGTTTGTTTTTGAGAAATTAAAAATATTATATATCATTATGAATTTATGGATTAGCAAGTACACAAATTTCTTGACTGTCTAATTCTCGATTATAGAGTCGAAATTCATCAATAGCACCTGAAAATGGTCCTGATGCATAAGATATACTACCACTTATACAGGTAACCCATGATGCTGGTCCTAATGAACCAACATTACCTAATGTAATATATTGAGGTGAGTTGGAATCATATATATTAAATGAGCCTGTATTTGATGATGAAGTACTAAATTCTCCATTAATAAAAAGACGTATACCATTGTTAGAATTATATACAACAGCTATATGAGTCCATGTGTTTATTGATATTACAGGACCTAAAGTACTACTAACAGTAGTAGTTGATGGCATCCATTGTAATACTAATGCTCCTGTAGTTGTAAAAGCAAGAAGATCATAGCAATATAAGGTACCAGTTGTATTAGTAGAAATATGTACTAATGAACCACCACTCGTCAGAGATGTTGGATTAATCCAGAGTGAAATTGAAAATGATGTATCAATATTTCGCATTTTTGGAAAACACTGTGATTGAAAATAACTTGTACTTGATTGAAAAGAAATAGCTTGATCAACACGACCATCAGATATTGTTACCCCCGATGCTATACCATTACAAAGATTAACACTATAATCATTCCAAGTTGTTGTTGTTGTATTAAATGGATAATATACTACTAATGATGCATCATTCAATATTTGACAATTAGTTCGAACAACACCAGCAGAAATTGTTAAATGATCAATTCTTCTACAACATAAATTAAAAGAAAACTTAATAATCAGATATATAAATCCAAAAAAAAGATTGATTGTAACTTACCCAGCATAATAGGATGTTCCATAAGCAAACGATGAAGTCTTTGCAACAGTTGTCGTCGAAACTGATGATATTGTTTGAAAAGGATTAACAATATTATTCGATACTGCATCTATTCGACCATTAACATAGATTCGTTGTTGAAATAGAGTTATATCATATACTACTGTGACATGAACCCAACCGCTTGTTATAACAGATGAACCCATCAATACAATGTTACTACTATTCATAGAATCAAATGAAAGTGCAAAACGTGCAGATCGTAGACTTAATGAAAGACACTTTGAATTAGAATCACATTGACCAAATATAGCTAAATCATTTGTAGATGACATAGATGTTGGCAAAAGCCATGCTTGTAATGTGAAACTTTGTTTAGTTAAATTTATATTAGGAATTTGAATAAATTGTTGAGAACCATATGTAAAATATACGGATTGACTAACATAACCAGTTTGAAAGCTAGGTGAATTAGATGGTACTCCTGTATTATATCCTATTATATCATTATAATTTCCATCAAAAGGATAAAGAGCAGTAATTATTGATGTATGATATTGTGTTTCTTTACCGATACATGTCGTCTTCGAACAAGCCGAAACAGTGATATTAGCAAACGAAGCTAAGATAAAAATATTGAATAATATTTTGATTTTAAAATTCTTTACTTACATTCTAAATGTGGATTAATAACATAGAAATAGACAGGTAGAATAATAATAAGTACGATACATGATATTATAATGGCTGGAATAATTATCTTGAGAAGTAATTTTTCTTTTGGTGTTAAACGACTAAATCATAAAAAAAGAAAAGAAAAACTTTGTATTCTAAGCAAAAATTATCTGAGATATTTATCAAGCTCATACTATTACAATTTCATAACTTACTTAAGCCAATTTTTAAAACCATGACCTGAAAGATCTTTTACTGTTTTTAAATTACATGTACTTTCAGTTGGAGGTGATACAGATTGAACAACATTCGATGATGGTAATCTATCAGTTTTTGGTTTACTAATACTTTCATGACTATTTTGTTCTGTTGTTTCATTTGGTGTGATATTCTTTGATGAAAATGAAGGAAGTTCACTTATATTTGTAATTGAAGGAAGTTGTTCCTGTTTATCGAATACTTTTATCTAAAGAATAAAAATTAAGAATACTATTATGTATTTACATGATTACCTTTTGAACATTAGTACGTGCTTGTCGAGGAACAAATGCAATACGAGTTCGAATATCATTTCCAACAGTTTTTACTGTATTCATGGAATTATAACTATTTTAAACTACATACGAAAGAAAAAGAAAAAATATATATGAAATTGATTCTTTTTTTGTTGTATTATTGTATTATTCGAGATAATACTCTGAAATCTAACAAGTTCCGTTGACTGTATTATTTACTTTTGATTTTGCCTCTCTCTCTTTGTCTTTTTCTTTAAAGTTTATTTATGCATATTCTCTATAAAATCATAATATATGTCGTTTCTATAATTATGTCAACTGAATTAATCAAAGATTATTTATTATAGAATAGAATTTTTAAAGAATATTGAAAGTTAAAGAAGTCCTTCTAGTACGTTCATTTTTTAATCGTATGACTTTAAGTCATTTGTGCTTTTATTATATATTAGAACATGTTCTTATATTGTTTTTGACCAGTGGCGGATCTAGGATTTTGGAAGGGGGGGGGGGCGATCACCTCAATCGCTCCTCCCCCTAGATCCGCCACTGTTTTTGACATACAAACCTAACATTAAAAGGTAAAGCATTTCAGTATAAA